GGGGCTGGGAGGGCGAGCCATGCCCAGCGTAGTCACCGCGCCCGCGGCCATGGCCACGACCGCGATCACCCTCAGCGAAGCGGTCACCACGACCACGGCCAGAGGGCTGCTGGTGTTGATGAGGAGGAGCCGGGGCGCGGTCGGAGGAGCCACTGCTGTGGCCGCGGTCACCAGAGCCGCGAGCGCCTGTGCCGGAGCTGCCGCCTTGGCCACGGTCACCACCGGGGAAGGAGGCACTCTTCTTGGCGGCGCGTTGCGCCTGTGATTCCTCCGCCAGGATGACCCGGGAGAGGACCGTGTCGAAGGGGAGCCCTTGGTCGCCGAGGACGACACGAATGGTCTCGAGGCGCTTGTCGAGGCTATGTAGGAATTGGGTGGAGAGGCCAGTCTCGGTGACGGCGTGGTCGATGTCGGCGAGGGCGTCGGTCTCGTAACGTATCATCTTTTACAATCGAACGGAAACACCCGAGCTTGAGAAGCGGGAGATGGCGAATCGTTGAAGAAAGAGTAGCAAGAGAGCCAAAGCAAAGGTGGTGCATGCATGGGAGAGAGGGAGTGGAGCATGGACCATGCATACCCGAGGGGTGAAGCGAAGGGCAATAGGCTCGCCCTGTCTCTGTCTCGAGGACAGGCAGCATTCATTTCATTTGCCCGGACGCACGCATAATTTAGTACGGGTACAATCCACTGTTGGCCTCGAACTCGGCGCCCCGGCGCTCCCTCCCTGCGTGGCCACGAACACCCAACACCACACCAGCAGCGCCCCTGCCTCATCCGCAGTGGCCTCCCTCCCTCTCGGGCTAGATTCTACAGCACGCACGGGCACTGCGCCTGCGCGCGAGTAAAAGAGGAGGAGACCTTCTGCACGCTTTGCGACCAACCAAGAGTCGCAAATCGTCGCACTCACTGGGCTCGGTCCGGACCGACGCAGGCGAGACGCAGCGTACGGCATGGGCACCACGCTAAGCCAACGCGCCGCGCCCACTTCGTCAGCGTGCCTACTGCTAGGCGGGTCCGTCCTAACACATATTGGAGACCCGATATCTCCATGAACTGTTTCGGCGTTGAAACTTCAAACTTGCTCCATCGTAAACAAGGATTCAAGGAAGGAAAGCACGGCGCCTACGCGTACGTGCCTCTGCGTCAGCCGTACGTACGTACTTTTTTTGTTTGAGTACTAGTACTGCGTACAGATCATCGGGGCGACGATAAATGTGATGGCCAAGGCATCATCGGCCTCCTCCGATCCGAAATGGACGAGACTTGCCTGCTTCCTTCCCATGCTCCCATCCGTGCTCCCGCCTACGTGACTTGATTTGATTGGAAAAAAATAAGACCTGGCCCCATCCCCTGAAAATCGGAGGGGGGATGATTAGATTAGAAAAGAAAAAGGGAAAAGGACAGCCGTAGGATGAAGTGGGAGCACGGATGGGAGCATGGAAAGGGAGCAGGCAAGCCGAATCCATCCGAAATGACCTCTCGCGTGGCGTACGAATTCACTGGCGCGCGACTATTATTTGCTTCCATTATTATCAGGACAGTCCAGATCACTGTCCTGCTACTTATGATGGCAGGACGACGTGAAATGACCCAAAAGAGAAACGTGACTGTTCAACATTTTTTTTTAAAACTACTGTATCTATATCGATATAAAAAGACCAAGAGAGGCAGACCCAATTAATCAATCCAATGACCTAGATTGCTTCAATGGTGAGCTCTCAACATGTTGGGCGTGTAATTGATAGCATATCAACTATCAACATCTATACTGATCTCATAATTAACATGTAATTGATATCCTACCTAATATCGACGTGCTCTTAATTTCATCCCTAAAATCAACGTGCATTGCACGTGCTCATCTACTAATCTAACTGAAAGGAGAGAGGGTACAAAATTCAAGCAAAACGAAATGATGAATGCACCTACAAATTCTTTTATGTAAGGCACTCAAGATTGACATCTTTTTGAATTGTTTGGATTGCTTACTGCATGCATCATGTGGTCACTCAAGATTGAGATTGCCAATATGACACCGCCTCCATTTTAAATTTATTCCGTATGAATGAGACACACATTTAATCAACGAAATAAGTAGGAGTGTATTTGATTTGCACCACCGTAAAAGAAAATCGAGGTACAGCCATCATTCCTACCTATCGAACCAATGATGGCTGGTTCTCTAATGTTATTTATTCTAGATGAGAATACATATACATAAATAACAAAAAAGGCTCATGAAAAACACATAAATAACAAATATAATCGTAAATGAGAAATACTTGATTTTTATGTCTAGTCAAATGGTTGCACAATTTGACAAAATATATACATTTCCACTTCAAACTAGTAAACTTGCACGCGGAATGCATATATCTAACGTTGGCCAGATGAGATTCACACCAGTATAAAACAAGTAGAATGACAAAAGGACATAAATGGTTTCCATAAGAAAAAGATTTGCCTTGAGATATAGCATGAATTTGCTAATCCTTTATAAGAGCACATACTAAGATTCTTTAATTGCGATGATAGTAATAAAAAAATACAAATGTACATACGAGTAGAACAAAGGGACTTCCTACAAATATTGCCATCGAATATGTATAAAATTTGTCACTATAAACAGGCATATTAAGTTGTCATCAGAAAATGTGTATAGTTTGCCATTTTGGTATAAAAAGTGTAGGCATATAGTAGCACGAATAAGTCATATGAAAACGCAACAGCAAGTTTGCCATGCTCCATGGCAAACACAAGAACATAAAAAATTGCCATGATCCATGGCAACAAACTATATAAAACCCTATACAAAATGATGGTAAAAGTTATAAAAAAGATGTTCTCTAATTCATGGCAAAAAAAAGTGTCGTCATCTATGTCAAAAACTTTATAAAAAAGTGAGCACAAAATCACATACCAAGTTTCCAATGGCAAAAAGTTTTTTTGAAACATTTAATATAAATCCCATGATTTAGAAAATCAAAGATTCCCAATTTTTCATATGACCATTACATATTTCCAATAAAGTTTTCGTGGTTTTGTGGAACAAAAGTACGAAACTTGCCATGTGGACATCTTTAAAAATCAGTAAGGTTGCCTTGATTTAGAAATAAAAAAACTAGATTTGCCATGTGAGAAAGTGGAAAAAATTGACATAATTTGGAAAAACTAAAATTCCCAAATTTTCGCTATGACATTACAATTAAAAAAACAATTGCCATGATTTAGAAAGAGCAAACTTCATAAATTTGTCATGTGACATTGCAAATTTATTTTAAAATTTGCCACCATTGTGGGGACAAAAAGAAAACTCTGAATTTTCCATGCGTGCAGTACAAACAAATTATAATAAATCCGAATATTCCATGTTTGAGTAAACTAACTTTTCTAAACTTTGCCATGCCAATGTGTCAAAAAAATGCCATGTAATTTTACATAAAAAAAGAACACATTGAACATGGCAAAAGTGTATGTCTTTGTATAAAAAATAGTTTCACATGGAAACTACTATGATCATGGCAATTAAAAAGATTCGTATTGGACACATGGCAATTAAGTGAAAATTGTTGTTTCCAAAGCAAAACCATGGCAAATTTGCGATGGGAACACGTATGAACTTGCCATCACAGAAAAAACATGGAAACTCTAAAACTCTACGGTACCAATTTAACTTGTAGGGAAACCAAGCCCCTATAGCAATGCAATTTCAAACAACCATGACTTTGAGGGAGTATAGAGACGTAATTTCCTCCACAGATGTATTCGCAAAAAAAATTCCTCCACAGATGCTCTATTTTTTGTACAAAAAGAAACAAACTAGAATGAAGCTAGTGGACACATGATTGCATGCATGTGTAGGAAAAATGTTGACATGGCAAAATGTATGAAAAATGTTGACAATGCAAAAATCTCGACCATACTATAGTGGTGAGGAGGAAAAGCGGTGCTTTGTTCGCTCGGTTCAATCACTGCGCGAACGATTACAATTGATGTCGTGGCACCAGCCTTGCGCCGAGATCCGTACTATTTGATCGGATGGTAAGAAGAGTGTTCGCTTTGAATCGCTAGAAAACTGACGCCATATCTTTAGTCTTCAGGAATTCTTTTCCGACAAGTTAGGCTAAATAAAAAATTCTTTTGAATTAGATCAAAAGTGGGACCATAGAGAAACGCATATCTACTCTTATCATACAAATCAAACACTCCACACAAAAGATCATGTCAAACGAAGATAACACGGTCATGATCACTAGCATGACCACAATTAAACGTTCCAAATTTTTTTAAAGTGCAATTAACTCAACTGTAGTGCTCCTCCCCGAGTTAAAACACTACACTGCCATCATCAAAGATCGCATCAGTTACAGTTACTAGTATCACTCGTTGCAAATAAAAATTCAACAAATAAGATGATCAATTATTGTTCTCCGAGCTAGTATGCCACAGGTCCCTCTCTGCCAGTGTGCCCGATTTATTTATTTTATCTCAAATAAGGGCCTCCTCTTCTCTTCCCCGTGGCCGTGGCCGTGGGAGGAGCTGCCACTTCCCCGGGGTAAAAATGGATCGGGAGACTCCGCGCCCCCCACCCGTATAAATACACAGACCCACTACCAGCAACCGCAAGCCAAGCCCGACGGCTTTCCGGCGGTTTTCGCGGCGGCCGAGTGCTCATCCGTGGGCGGTTTCCGGCGGATTTTGTGCTCTCCTCTCCTGGTTCTCCTCGGCCACCTACCTCGGCAAGCATTTCCTTGCCCACAACTGCCCTGCTCGTCTTCCACCTCGCGCCCCGCTCGACTTAAGAACGAGACTCTGGTCCCTGGCAGAGCCTGGATCGAGGCGAATGCGCTGGGAGCGGCGGCGGCCATTGTAGTTGGAGCAGCGGTTTCGGCTCGATCCGGCCGTCCGAGGACGTTGCTTTCCGGTGAGCTTTTGGCCCGTCGCTGATTATTCTTTAAAGCTACACAACAAAAGCTTGCGCGGCAGTTGCCGTCTTTTCCATGGTTGGTCCTTGGTCATGGCCTGCCTGCTCCACAGGTGCTCCGTCCGTCCGTCCGCCCGAGGGGATGCTGCGCAACAGATCGAGGAGAGCGGTTGGTGCCGGAGGCGGGGGCGGAGGAGGTCTGATGCCTCAACCTGAGCCCCTCGCCGCCGCCGCTGCTCAGTCTTCTTCTACTTCCCCGACGCCGTACATGGCGCTGCCGCAGGCCGGGTTCCTGGACGGCGCGGAGCAGGGGCCGTCCTCCTCCATGAGCCCCACCTCCATTCTCGAGACCAAGCACTTCTGCTGCTCCGCCCTGCCGCCCTTCCTCTCGGAGAGAAGCCTCAGGAAGGCGCACATGGAGATGGCTGCTCCGGAGCCGGCAAGCGTCGGCCTCGCCGACGTGCTCCGGGAGCACGGCGGCGCCAAGGCCGGCGGCCGCAAGGTGGTGTTCGGCTCGCAGCTCAGGATCCAGGTCCCGTCCGGCAGGGCCGCGGAGCTGGTGTCCTCCCCGATAGAGTTCGGCGTCAAGAACCGGGACGCCGTGCTCTCCCCGGCCAGGAGGTTCCTGCCGGAGGTCGTGAGCTCGCCCACCGCCCGGGTGTTCGCCGCCGGCGTCGCCCCCGGGGAAGCGGCCATGTCGGAGGACTACACGTGCGTCATCTCCCGCGGCCCCAACCCGAGGACCAGGCACATCTTCGACGACTGCATAGTCGAGAGCTGCGGGGATGCGCTCGTCGACAAGGCGGACAGCGGACCGGGCGGCGACGCCGTGCCGGCGAGCGGTTCCTTGAGCTCTTGCCATGCATGCCGCAGGCAACTTGCAGGGCATGCCAATGATACCTTCATCCATCGGTGAGCTTTCTCTCTGTATGTATGCGGATCTCTTGAAAAATTTACTCGCCATTTTACTAATTTTCTTGTACCAAATATGGTTTATAGACACTGCATATATGTCGATGATTGATTGATGTGGCTGTTTCTGCTGCTTGCTCTGCTTATATAATGATAATGATATGTGCGAATGGTCTGTTCATGCTAAATATAAGATGATCTCAAAGCTTGGATATATTCATTTTGACAGCATGCGTGATCTGCTAGATGTGCATTCACATCATGGAGCAGAATGTAATTTCTGAATATACTGTCACAACTAGTAGTATGCATCAGATGCAGAGTAGATGGAAGGCAAGGGAGGGATAAAATCATGCACTGACATCAAATTCTCGGTTTGTATTTACTGCTAGTATTTGACATGGAGTGCTTCATCATTGCAAGTTTTATGTATGTAATCATCAACTCGACGATTGTTGATATATACTAGCAGTATCAACATAATACATCTGCACTGTACTTCATCAAGATCATGACAGTTTTATACTATGCCAATAATATATCTTCGTGGATGGGTCTGATTCTTCTTCATTATTGGAGCTTATTTAGTAGATAGAGTAGGCCTTGTTTGGTGCGAACAAAATAAAATGTTTCCCTCCAATCCAAGGGGGTTGTTTTGATTCCGCATCATATCGCTTTCACGTAGAAAACTATGCAAAAGAAGCTCATTATCCTAATGTTGGGTCCCCTGGGGGATTATGTTAACAACAACTTCCTAGGGATTAAACTATTTGGCATCCTAATTGATGATGTTGCTAAATGCTAAACCAGGTCCCTGTCCCAAGCCTACTCCTGACCATGACCCGGTCCAGCTATCATCGTCATTGCAAATACAAAAACATAAAAATCGCATACTATATGCTTGCTAGTTTGACAGCCTTATGCCAAAAGATTATACTGAGTTGAGTTTGGTTTGATAGGAAAGGGATCTGTGCCATGTCTTTGTTCATGGATTGAAGTGATAAACTCGAACCTGGAGATGCGCTCAAAAACTTTTAGCCGGCCTCACGATTTCAGATGCTATCTTCTCGATCAGAGCAGTTTTATTTGTGCCCGCGCTTTGCTTTGCACAAAGAGCATAACATGAACATCAAATGCCCCCAAAAGCTATGTGCTTTTTTTTAATAACTCACTCATCAGTTGGCATTATTGGCACATTTCTGCGATATAATATAATTGATCCTTTTCTTTCTTTCTTTCTTCAGGGGTGGCAGAGCATTCTGCAGCGACGAGTGCCGGTACCGGGAAATGATCTTCGACGAGGCGGTGGACAACCTGCGCTAGCTAGCTAAACGGGCGAGGGACGGTGTGTTTCACAAGAGAATTTCATTTCAGTGGAGGAGAAGGCATGCATGATGGCCCTGAATAACCGAGATGGGAATTATTATTTTCCATTTTTAGTTTCTTCTCGACTTTGCAAGACGTGCTGGATGATGATTTTTGGTCATGGAGAACAGAATGATTTTTGGTCTTTTGCCGCGGATTAAAAGACCTTTGCCCTCTGAATCACTGAAAGATGTTCGACGTTCTAGTTAAACGAAATGAAATTCGATGCCAGTGTTCTATCCTACCCTGTGCTGCAAATCAAATTTTGGCTATTAGATTTAGAGGTGACATGGAGGCATTTGTCCCAGAATGCACTCTGAAAGAAATTGTGTTCACTAAACTATTGGGAAAGCAAAATCATCCGCATGGCCCTTTTGACATATCCACTGGATCAATCATCAAATTTTCTGGGTCTTTTTTTCAATCACCATCAAACACTTTGCTTTACCTTGCTTGCTTATTCATCAAAAAGGGAAGATGGAACTGAAACCAACTGCACCTTGTTCAGTGATTCAGGGGGGCCAAAAGTAGCCATCTTGAAAAAGATTCACAGGTTTGTGTGTTTTGCCATGGCCCATGCGATGGGGGCCGATCATCACTTGTACTAGTAATAAAATGAAATGCAGCAGCCCGGACCGGCATAATGAGAGCTCAACATACAGCTCCTAATCATCACACTGTTTTTGTAAAAAAATCGGTGGGTGCACTGCTGGTGCTGGGCCAAACATGATTATGAATTATGATTGTCATGCCATTATTCATGGGTGAGTGAGTTCTGCTTGTACTGCTGTTGTTGTTGGGTATCCATCTTTTCTTTGTCTTTTGGTTGCTGTTACTACTGCATTATTGGTGCTGCTGGTACTGCTTTTGACCCCCGAGGAATCATGGGCTAAGGGGTTAATCTCAGCTTTTGACCCCTGATAGGTTTTATTAACCTGGCAGGTCACTGCATCTGATTGTTCATAGGTTCTAAAGTTGAAGACTGAAGCATTTTTGTATGGGAATGTTCCCAAGCAGGTCTCTGCTGCTGATGGAACTCCTTCAGCAAACATGATCAGACTACATTACATACTGGCAATCATCACGGCTTCAGATTTGAACTTGTTATTTTTTTTTTTTATTTTAGGGGGGATTTGAACTTGTTATTTACAGTGGAGGCTTACACGACACAAAGTGGCGAGCGAGCGAAACATCGGGCGCGAGGATCACGCGAGCGGTGGACGAGGGTCGGACGACAAGAAGCTGTACACCGCGGCGTCCACGGCCTCGCCGGCGCCGGCGCCGGGGCGGACGATGTAGCTGCGCAGCACCCCTTCCCTGTGGAACCCGGCCTTCTCCAGCGCCCGCTGCGACCGCGCGTTCCCGACGTCCGTCACCGCCTCCAGCCTCCCCAGCCCCGGCAGATCCTCGAACACCCTCCCAACCACCTGCGCGCGTCCGTCAAGAACACACCAAGTCAGTCAACCGCCAGGCTGGACTCCCGGACCGGAGCTCCGCCGCCAGCGTTACCAGCTAGCAGTAGTGGGTTACCATCCTGATGGCGGCGGAGGCGACGCCGCGGCCCCAGTGGCCCAGCGGCCGGAGCGACACCACCGGGCCCTCCGCCTCCTTTTGCCGCCGCGCGTCGCCGTCGTCAAGGTCCATCGCTCCCCGCCTGCCTCTGCTAGTGTAGTATGATTGTGATCTTTGGCGATTGAGAATTTACGTACGAGTCAATCAGAGCAGCCAACGACACCTACTCCTTATTCAATTCAAAAATGGTTCTGTCACTCGTAATTTTGGCGCCCGATCCGAGCGGACGACGCTGAACATGACCATGTCCCTGGGCCGGCCCTTGAGCACGACGTAGCGCCGGAGCAGGCCCTCCCTCACGAACCCGGCCTTCTCCAGCACCCGCTGCGACGCCGGGTTCTCCACGTCGGCCACCGCCTCCAGCCGCGCCAGCCACGGCCACTCCGCGAACGCCGCCGCCGCGGCCATCCCCACCGCGCGCGTCGCGATGCCGCGGCCCCAGTAGCCGTGCGCGACGCGGTAGCCCAGGGACGCCCTCGACGACGACGCGCCCTCCTCCTCCCCCGCGGGGCCGCAGGGCTTGACGGAGATGGATCCCACCGCCACGGCGCCGAGGCAGATGGCGCGGTACCACGGGTGCGGGAGGACGTGGTCGCGGATGTAGCGGCGGGCCTCGTCGACGCGCGCGTAGGCCTCGCGGCGCTGGAAGAGGACCACGCGCGGGTCCGACGCCCACGCGAAGAGCGCCTCCGCGTCGGCCTCGGTGAACTCGCGCAGGGTGACCTCCGTCTCCGGCGCCGGCTCCCGTCGCTGGTGCTCCATGCTTCCTCTCCCCTTTGTGGCGTGGGTGTATTATTTATGTGTGGATGAGCCGGCGATCTTGACCGGACAAAGAAGCTACTCGCCGCGGTTTTGAATCGACTCCAGAGTGCTTCAGACTGACAGACGGGAAATGCATGCCCCCGGTGAATATTTTTTTAATCAGTCTGACTGATTTTTCATTTGGTCTAGGTTGGATTTCTGGTCCAATGGTACACTGACACGTGTGAGGGCGCTGGTTTCCACTGGTTCCTCCCTTTGTTGGTCTGATAGAAACAAGGTTACCCTTTCTAGATATATCCGTTTGGCCGACAAGTAATACGGATTGAAGCCAGTATCCAATTTGTTCATATACAAAAATTGAAAATAATGATACCAAATGATTTATTAGTACTACAAATTTTGATTCAAACATAGCTACCCCACTCTTCCAAAATCTATAAAAGACCGAGAAATACGAATGAACAGAAAACTCTACATTTTAATTCTACTAGTAAGCTTGCACGTGCAACGCACGTCTTCATTAACACATAAATGATACTCTTTTACATGCAACAAAGGCATACATATTGTTACTTTTACTGTTACAATTAACGTATGGAAGCGGAAATATCATTCAATTCATCTATTTCTCCACATTCTGAACATGCAAATCAGCAAATAAATCACGAAAAAACATTACAATTCAATTGCATAACACAGTAATTCATAACTCAGAAAGTTCATGTAACATACTAAAATTACATAATCAGCTAATAGGGTTCCAAAGTAACAAGAGAGGTAAATGACATGACAAAATAACATCACATGAATTTCAGTTTTGTTGATTCATTTTTCATATCTTTAACTCAAATGTCCAATTCCCCAATATCATCCAGCAAGGCCTCCAACTCTGGTTCATCTAAGCAAGCAAAATATTTCTAAAGAAAATCTGCACCACCGCCAAATATCTCACTGGTGTCTTCTCCAATGCACCACAATCTTGACGGGACACTTGAATATGTTGCTGATTTCCTTGAAAGAAGACACACATTCTGATGCACAAGGCAAGATGCTCTGCACGTCCAGGGTCCAGCCTACAACAAATATGCTTGAACACAGCTTCCAACTTGCAAGTAGGTGGTAAAATCAAGAAAATACGAAGGTCATCCTTTTAGAAATTGGAGGTCTTCGACAAGGATTTCATAGTTTCTCTCCTCATTTTAGGTATTGTAAAGAGTGAAAATGTTACATAAGTGTTAGCGTTATATAATCCAATTCAAGTCTTAGTATCATAAAATATTTTTTGATGACCCTTAACACTTGCAAAAAACACTCACTGCCAAACATAAAATTGTTCAGATGTCTTACCAAATACTTGTAGAACTAAAAAAAACAAATTCATGGCATAAATTTCAAAATTAACAACAAAAATAATGTTGAAGAAAATGTAAGTATAATTAAAATTGAAGTGAACTTGACATAATTCAAAATCAGAACCTTTATATGGCTGGCAATGAGTCATCCTATATAGCAAAATATGAGTGTCGGACAAAATAGCTCTCATTAGGTACTCCATGAAATTAAACATCTAGAGACCACAAGTTGAATGATTATGAAATTTTGATATGTTCAGTAACAAATACCGATAAAAATCTTAATAGTTTTATAAAACTTTCAAAATAATTTTGACTGGATACTTTTTTAACCCTTTTTGTCTATGTAAAATGATTGCACCCACGTAGTCAAACTGGTCACACCTGATAAAAAAGAATTGGACAAAGTCAGACGCTAAATACAAACCAAATGACCAAAAAGGCTATTGATAAAAAAATGAATCGGACAACACGGGATGCTATATCTGACTTGACCAAAAGGGCTAAAAACCCAACTCAAAAAAGAAAAGGAAGAAAAAAGGACACACCGAACGCCCCTCTCAGTTCTCCTCGCCTCGTCACCTACCTTCCCCACCCTTATCCCTTCACTATCTCCCTTGCTCCCTATTCCATGGTGGCCAGAAGCCCAGAACTCTCTCTCTACCTCCTCCGGCCGCCCCTCCTCTTCGTCCCACCGCCGTCGCGAGGTCTCGCCCTCTCCCCACTCTTCTCAGCTCATCCTCGTTGAATCGATCGCCGAAGTGCCCGAGGATCCGCTCGAGGTCGGCATGGTCGCTGGGCGCGGGACGAAGGCCGACGCGGAGGTGCGGAACTCGTCTCCACCAGATTGGCGGCCGTGGCAATCATCCGTCGCAACCTCCACCACCCTGTGAGTGCGACTGAGCTGCGCCCTGCCCTGCCCAGGTGGGCCAGTAGTTCCGCGGTGGCTGGTCCCCTGCAAGTGCAAGCCGGCGCCGGTAGACGACCTATTGCCCACTTCGGCTTTCATATCTGCTTCATCTCCCACTTCTGCTAATCTATGATTGCTATCCATTCATGTATAGTACATAACTGCATATGTAGCTCAGTAGTCTAAGTTTAAGCATGAGAGTCATTTTAGAACCTCAAGAAAAATTAGAAGTTGGGGTGATCCTATTTTCGTACTGTCTAATCTTGTCTAAGCATCTGAATAACAAAGGGCCACTTAATTGGATGATATTTTCACACCATTTATCAGGGAAGCCTTTTTGTCTAAGCATCTGAATAACAAAG